TTTTCAAGAATCTTGAAACAGAAGCCTTTCATTAAAGCATTAATTCTACGAACTCTGTAAGTTCATCTTCCCCCTAAACTGACCTGCCCTGAGGCTTCTCGGGGTAAAGTGGACTCAGCAAAGTGAAGTCCAATCAAAGGGAGCAGAGTTGTTTGGTTCAGGTGCAGAAGTTAATGTGCGCCTTAGGCAGAGCCAAGCCACTGGTGCATGCAGGAGTGAGGGCCAGCCACAGGTGATGGATTGCGGCACGGATTAGGGGCTCCGAGACACCTCTAGAAGAGGCGGCAAAAATTATCTATTGCACACAGATTCTTTACCTCTCCCCATCTTTCAGTCTTGTGAAGCCCAGGCCCTATGGGAGGAATCCAGAAGCAAGACACAATTCCAGTCCTCAAATCCTTCTTGCCGTCTTGGGAGCTAAGCCTTGTTCTCAATGACAGGATACAGATCCGGGCAGAGCAGAGGTGAAAGGCCTGGGCAATGCCTGGGCGTCACTGGCAAATAAGGAATCATCCCTGAGATAAAGACGTACATAGCTAACCTCTCATCACGGTGTGGCCACGAGGGTGTCAGCCCAGATTCTCTGGGACATCATTTGTGTTATTATGACGACTTTCACATTTGAAGTGAGAAACTTACACGGACTAACCAGACCTCACTGGCCTCATCTCCCACTCCATCTCTGAACCCCTGCCCCCCGCCCCACGCCCCCTCTGCATGTGGTCCTCCAGCACAGGGCACTCCCCACGACAGTTGCCCCCAGGGCTCTGTCTCTTTCATTTTTGTATCTGGAAGGTTCAGCAAAAGGCCTGGCCCTATGTAGGGAGGAATCAGGCCCATCCAAGGAGACTGGAGGGGTTATGACAGGAAGGAGAGTGTATGGAAAGCTTAGGGTACAGCTACCCTCACTCACACATTCATTCATTCATTCAGCTGCTACCACCTGGGTGTCTACACTGGGGATGTCACTGTGAAATACAGCAGGCCGAATCCTCCCCACATAGACCAGTCTGTGAGGGTGTGACGCAGTCCATCCAGGGGCGGTAGGAGCAGAGCAGAGGGGCACCTAACTTTGACTTTGGATGTCAGAGAAAGATGCCTGAGAAGTGTGATGTCTCTAGGACCTGAAGGATGAAGTGGGAGGCGTGGCACCAGGGACAGGAGGGAGGGAGGCTCCTGCTGACCCAGCTCAGTATTATTTGTGACCTCTGGAAAGCACGTCAATTAATCAGCCAGAGCCTCAGTTTCCACATCAGTATAATGGGGATCATAATACTTGCCTCACTGGATGGTTGAGAGGGCTTAATGAGATAATGTCCGTTAAGCGTCTGAGTCCTCTCACGTTGATGTGCAATCGAAGTCTGATGGATGAATGAGTGACTCTTGGGGGTGGAGACGGCCTCGATGACTCATCAGTTCACTTTGCTCTGTATTAAAGCAGGGGAACAAGCTGATTTTTTTTGTGTGTGAAAATCCAATTTAATATACTATTCATTTATCCCCTGTGAACTGAGAGAAGCTAAGACTATTTCACATTCTTTGTGTTCAGCGACCAAACATAGCTGACCAGAGAAATGAATCAGTTTATTGCAGGTGCCAGGCAATTAGCCTTGAATAATGTTGTTTAGCAAATTTTATATTAGATTACAAGAGAAAGCCTTCCCCAAAAGACAACTAAAGGAGGCACCAAAGGAATCCATGCCCAGGAGCCCTGGGAAAGGCCAGCTCTGGTCACAATAGTTGCCTTCTCCTGTCATCAACAGATGATAGATCTTCTAATGAGAGGACAGGCTTTACGTTGAGGTTCCTAAATGATGCTATGGAGAAGCGGGCAGATCAGACTTGCTCCAGCCCCGAGCAGTGCTCAACTCCTGGCCTCACTCCCAATGAAGTTATACAACTAAGAAATCAAACACGTCCTGAGTTAGCAGAGTGTGGAAAACACAGTGAGGTGTGTTTAAAGACACAATGCAGTACGTGTCTGTTTACAAATGACATGGCTTATTGACTTGATCATAAAGTCATCATTTTCGAGCCAAATAGCCATGGTATAAGCTGTAATTGCTCCTTCGTCTCTGTCTCATCCACTGGAAGAAGGCTCAGTGAGAGCAGCAAGGGGCCCAGGCTATCTATTGCAGGGCTTACCGCTAAGCCCAGTATATAACTGGCTCTTGAAAAGATTTATTGGATGCATCATATTTCATTAGGATGTATGTGAGTCGACCCCTATCGCATTCTGTCATGTTTGCACATGTTCCATCTGAAGTCAAATCCTGAATGCAAATATGATCTTCTCATAGTATTATTTGAAAATACTATGCCTTTGAGTATCAAGGGTAGATGCTATGATCTATGACTTTTCTCTTGAGGATCCTGGCCAAGACACAGCTCAGGGATGCGTGTGTGTACTCGTGTGTGTGTGCAGATACACACACGTGAAGGCACATTTCTGAGAATGAGCCATAGAAAGGCTGCATGTCTACCAGCAGTCTTTTTAGCTCTCATTAGATGACCTTCTGGAGGGAGAGCTCTTAGCCCTTTGACTTGGCTTTTCTAACAGCAAAATGGCGATGGACTTCAGTTTCCTGTTTCACTGAAGAGTTATGGTTACTGTGATGCTATTTCCCTCAAGGAAAAATGCCACTTGGTTGCAATGGATACACTTGGGAAATTAACGATTGAAAGTTGAGCGTTAATATCCCAAGGCAGCATTGCTAAAATGCAAAAGTGATGTTCATCATAAATAACCATACTCAAGGTTTAATCAATGTGTGAAATGTGAACTCACATCCTGAAATTCAGTCCTTACTTTTTAAATTACTTTCAACAAATTTTCAAGTCTTCATCACAAATGGTTCTTCTTTGCATGGGGATTCCTCTTCACCCGATTACAACTTACTTTATTATTACGTTCTTTGGTTTTTAATCACCTGAAAATTACCGCTACTGTTTGACAATGGGAAGAATTGCTAATCACCCAGTATTCTGGTAATTTTGATTGTCTTTCCCCTCTGAAGTTTGAAACACACTGTTTCTATATCTAAAACTGTTCATCAGCACCTAAATGTTTATTCAGACTAAGAATGGAGTACTCTAACAAATATCATCCTCTGCCTATGACATCAGACAGAGGCATTCCTTTCGTAAAGTCTTAGTGTTTTAAAAAATAATTTGAAATTTTCTGTAGGCCTTGCTATTTCAAAGGCAACAAAGGGACAGAGAGGTGGGGAAGCGGGGGCCTGAGCACCACAATGGGGCTCTGAGTTCCTGGGTGAGAGGATTCTCCTGGGCTGGCAGCAGTTCCCGTCTGACCAACAGGAGTTGGTCCTTCAGTCACCCACATGTAGCCTGCTTTCGGGACTACCGTCAAGTTTACTGAGTCCTGGCCAGAAGAAAGTATTTAATTATAAACTGGTTGCAAGCTGCATTTCTCAGTTTCCTTATTCTGATCTCAGCACACAGTTTCTTCCCTCTAGGATAACGAGAAGTGACTATGAAGCTGACTGTGCTGGGGCCCACGAACTGAACCCCCCACACTGTGAAAATGTATCCAGACACATGGACCACGACGCAGGAAGGACGGATTCTGATTTCCAGATACCCTGCCCTCCTAGAAGTATTCTAAACTACGCATTTCTCATGAAGATTCCATCTATGTGATTAACCATTACCTATTCATGGTATAAAGCTTGAAAGGATGAACAACTTTTAAATCTCAAAAATCAATTTTTAGTCAAACAAACCAAAAGCTGAAAGATTTTTTTGAGAAGTTTTTTTTTCTCAATTTTAATAGAAAAACCACTGTTGGAAGAAAAAAAAAACCCAGCTTTGCACCAATTTCTAGCAGTCATACAGCTATGACACACAACGTTAACATACATGTTTGTCAGCCAATTTCCTGACAGCTCCATCGATTGTCAAATTGTACATTGTATTTTCCCAATGTTGTCAAACATTTTTAAAAAATTCTTTCTCTCCAAGTTTCCTGCAAAAGCAGAGTCTAAACAGGGGATGTTGGAAATAGCTGTAGAATTCTTCTAATGTATAAAACAGCATGCACCTTCAAGTACACACATTGGTGTCTATTTTTAGCATTTTAGTTTGTTAAAATAGGCTCAAGATAAAATTCTTTTATTTATAAGGTAAGGATTTTCTTTTTGTTTTCTGGCCTTCTTGAATTATATTACATTGGGGGAGTGTTTCCCCCAAAGAGATGGGTTGGTGGTGAGTTTGACTGGGCAGCATGATAGTACACACAGAACCAGCTCACGGCCCACCTGCTCAAGCTGGTGGCAGCAGATGCCTTGTGAGGACTTAGAAAGTTTCTGGCGCCACCAGAAAGGTTCAATGAAACACGGCCCAGGGTCCAAATTCACCCCAACTCTTATCCATGCTTCCAACCTCCCTCCCTCCCTCTCTCTCTCTCTCTCTCTCACACACACACACACACCACTGTTCATCAAGACATCAGGACCCCTGCTGGATCAGCTCCAAGAACAAGGGCTTTGCTCGTTTCCAGCACCAGCGGCAGCGCTGGGCCCAGCAGTCCGATTTGGAGTTAACCACGGAAAACCTGAGCAGCCGGTGGAGGCGGAGTGGGGGGGGGGGGGGGGGGGATAGCTCCAGCTCTGGCTCATTGAATCCCCTGCCCCGCTCCAAGTTAACAGTGTCCTTCCCCTGCTCTCTTCCAGGGAGGGCGCGTCTCTCGCTTGCCCCAAGCACAGGGAAGTCGGGTGCCCGGCCAAGAGCCTGCAGTTCCAGGAGGCTCTGAAATGACCCGGGGGACCTCGGCCACCAGAAACTCGGGGAGTTACCGAGGTCAAAATTTCTCCTCCCAGTGGCTGTTGGCTCCAAAGATAACCTTCTCACCTTCACGGTAAATACAGACCGGGTGAGGAGGCTTAAATCCACACAGGAGGCGGCTGCTCAGCTCTGCATGCAGCAGGCAGCTTCGGCCCAAATTGGGGGATGCAGGGCGGGCGGGGGCGGGGGGAGCGAGTGTGAGCGTGGGTGGGGTGGGTGGCAAACCTGAACCCATCCTGCGACTCTCTGGTGCTAGGCACTGCTCCTGTGTTCCCGGAGGCGCCTGGTCCTAGGACAGGGTCGATGAGGCCCGCACACTGAGTGACAGGGAAAGGAGCTGGTATCCCCTAGGGCCGCTCTCCGCCAGGCAGCCCTCCTCCCTTCCGTCACGGGCAGCTCCAGCAATTGGAAAGTCCTTCTTACATGCGTCCCAGTCCCAATGGTCCCAGCTCCCCCTCGATGCACACTCCCGGTGAGGGTGAAGGAAGCCACCTGGCCCGCTGGAGCTGCTCCTGCAACCCCCGCGGCGTCCCTGGAGCACCGAGGGAAGGCCCTGAGCCGCCAGGAGGTCCAGGCTGCGCCAGAGGAGGAAATTGGCCACAGTTGGGCCCCGGGCCGCGCTCCTGCTACTAAGAAAGCTCTTTGGGGTGAGCCAGGCTCTCATCGAAAAGGCTGGGGCTAAGCGCCAGCCCGTCGCCCCTTTAAAGCGGATCTCCTGGAGAGCCTGGGTTCAGGTCCAGGCGAACTGGAAGGACAGGTGGAGCAGGGAGCGCCCTCTCTCCCCACCTGAATGGTCGCCTGGGAGAGGGGCGCACGACAGGCGGGCCACCTGGGAGGCCCGAGGCCCCGCTCAACTCAGGTCCTGCGACCCGGGCGCTGCCCTCCCTCCACCGCGTTCATTGCTGCGGCGCGAACACGCTGGGCCGTCACCAGGCGGGAAGACAGGGCTTGAGCTCAGCGCCTCTGGACGGGACACTCTCGGGACAATCCCCGGCCTCCCTTCAAACTTCGGTCCCTTCCCGACTGTAGACCAAGTGGCCGACGCGGAAGCCGGTGGCCGCCGTCTGATGGCCAGCGGCAAAGCCGGGCGCGGGGCTGGGGGCGTGGGAGCCGTGGGCGGCGACCGTCGTCGGTCTCCCGAAAGAAAAGTCGCCAGCCAGGCCCCCGGGGAAGGTACCAAGACCGCCGGCCAGGGCGCCCATGGCCGAGGCGAAACCCGAGAAGCAGGTGGCAGCCTCGGGCACGGGCGGGGAGGGCGAGGCCTGCAGGTCCGGGGAGGCCGCGCCCAGGGACTCCAGCTCAGGACCCTTGGCCCCTCCTGGACTCCGGGCACCCGAGGGGGCGGCCACGCTCGCCTCCCCTCTCCGCTTCCTTTTCCTTCGGAAGTTCCCGTTGTCGAACATCTTCTCGCAGTTTGGGTCCAAGGTCCAGTAATTGCCTTTACCTGCGGTAGAAGAAAGGACCCAGCTCAGAAAATGCCGGGTTTGACCGACCATGATGTGAACGTGAGAAACGTCCATCAACTTCAGAAAAATTCCCCGGATGACCCCTCCACGAGCTCTCATCCCCGTCCCAACCTTGAAGTGGCACTTTGTACCGGAACGGGCTTCCACAGCCTCCCTGGAAAGAATGTGAACATCCCAGAAAGACCAGGGAAGGGCGACCCCCAGGAAAAACTGAGCCCCGCTAAGTTCAAGGCCAGAAAGAAGGCCTATGGGGTGCAGAGCCGTCTGGATTCTGGCAGTCGCTCTGCCAGTGAAGCGGAGCCAGCCATGCCTGGCCTCTATGCGGGCTCCAGCGCTTCCCAAAGCGGCATCTCATTTGCCTCACCGAACCTTAGGGTAGGCATTGTCTTCCCCATTCTACAGCAAAGGTCACTGAGGCCCAGAGGAGTGACTCTAAAGATCGCCCACCTGGCCAGCGCTCCTGCTCCTTCCTTCACGGGAGCGCGCAGACCTGCAGAGACTCGCAGCGCGCTAGACCTGAAGTCAGGGCCTGAGGGCGCTGCTCCGGTCTCCTAGCATGGGCTCGGCGGGACACCTCTCTCCTCCTCCTCCCCTTTCCCCCCCCCAGCTGTGCTGTGGCGCCTGGGTTGTCCAAGGCCGCCCGCCTCCCTCGTGTGCCAGCAGCCCGGCTGCGGGAATCCGTAGGGTCCTGGTCGCGGCGATCGGGCGCTCCTCGTTACCTGGGTCGTCCTCGTCGCGCGGCACCTTCTTGAAGCAGTCGTTGAGCGACAGGTTGTGGCGGATGGAGTTCTGCCATCCCGCCTTGCTGCGCTTGTAGAAGGGGAAGTTGCCGGCCACGTACTGGTAGATCTGGCTGAGCGTCAGCTTCCGCAGCGGCGCGCTCTGGATGGCCATGGCGATGAGCGCCGAGTACGAGTAGGGCGGCCGCACCAGTCTCAGCAGCTCCTGCTGGCCCGAGAGGCTTAGCCACGCGAGGTCGGCACCCGCCAGGCCGCCCGGGGCGCCCAGGAGTGGGCCCGGGGCCGCGTAGCCGGGGGACGCGTACGGGGGCGCGGGTCCGGGGCCCGGCGCGTAGGGCGCGGGGCTGAGAGCAGCTGCATTCAGCCACAGGCGCGGGCCGCCACCCGCCGCGGCCACATCCCCACGCGCGTAGCCCGCGGGGTGCGCGGCGGCCCCGGCCTGGCTGTGCTGGGCCGGGCAGACACCTGAGCCGTCGCAGTACGCGGCCATATCGAGCCGCTCCCGGGCCTGGGCGGGCGGCTCCGCGCGCCGAAGCTCATGGGCACCCCATCCAGCGCGTCCGGCGGCAGCTCCCGGTGCGGCCCACCGGGCCCCGCCCTCCGCCCTTTAAATGCCGTCGGGGCCGGAGCCCGGGTGAGTGTCGGTGGCCAGCCCCCTCCCTCGCCGGCTTTGGAAGAGTGATGTCTCTGTCCCCGCCCTGGGGTCAGTTTTCCGCCCCGCCCCGGTCCCCATGAGCTCCTGACGAACCACCCCAGTAATTCCCTCACCCTGTGCAGGCTGCGCCGCGGGCCAAAGCCGTTTGTGGCCTTTGCGACGGGTGCCCTGGGTCCTCAGGGATCTCACCGATCCCAGCCTCTTCTGGCTTCCAGGGCTCCGCAGCCTCGGCCGCCCTGGACCTTCGGGCAAGTACCACGACTCCCGCAGGCCCCCAAGATTGCGACGTGGGAGCCCAGTCCAACCAGCGTCCCCCTTGCTCGCCCACGGGGGACCCCGCCCCTTCGGAATCTCGTATCCCCGCGGCCCTTGTATTGCTGGGGCCACTGGTGGGGGGAGCGGAGGGCAGCCGTGTTGGACAAGGAGTTGTGATGAAATCTACGGGTGTCGCGGGGCTGAGGCCGCGCAGACAGGTGGCAAGCAGAGGACGCGAGGGCCCAAGGCCAGGGCTGGCTGCGCGAGGACAGTGGCACTGGAGTCATATGGAGTCTCCGCGCGATAAACGTGCGAAGGTGGACCAAACCCCTGTAAGGGTCGAAACGATGGGAGTTCGGGCCGCCCCAGTCGTCGAGGGAAGACTTCGCTTCTCCGAAGCCCGGAGAGCTCAGGGCGCCTCCTGGCTTGTCCGAGCAATGGCCTTGGGCCACGAGTGCAGCGAATGGCAAAACCCTCCGCTGGATTTCCCCGGATCCTGCGAAAACAGGGCCGTCTCTGCGGTGCACAGGGCACCATCCGCCCGGCCCTGGCACTGCCAGCTCCCGGCAGCTTCCCCAGGCTCGCCGGCTCCCGACGGCGCGGAGGCTTGGCCGCGAGGCCCGGCCGGGCTGTTGCGCCCTCTGCCCGGGGTGCCTGGAAGAGCGCGGGCCTCCCGGACTCTGAGTTCGGGCCACCTGCCCTCGCGCGGAGAAGCGAAAATTCTCGCTTTGCCATCAAGGTTCAAAGATGAGGAGACGTGCTCCATCTCTGCGAAATTCGTCGCCCGCGATGCTAGAGCCAGTCTTGTGGAAATTGGTCTCGCCCTGGCCCCCTCCTCGATATTTCCAGGGACTGTGAACCGTCAAAGAGAATAAATTTGAATTCATTTAAAAGACCAAAGTTCCGATTCTCACGTGCCCCTCCCACCTCCGCTTTTGGCCCTGGAGAGGAGGAGGCCGGCGGGGTGGCGCTGAGGACTGGATGGAAGGGAAGACTTGGGCTTTGGAATTAGGGAGTCCAGCTTCCAGCTTGAGTCAGCCGTCGACTGTAGGTGTGGCCTTAGGCCTTTCAGATTGTAATTTCCAATTATATGTACGACCATCAATTTGTGGAACAATTTAACCAACGACAGAAGGGAGAGTCCCTCTATTTCGACATCAGCCTCTCCTCATAGAAGTAAGAGCCCTTTTGGAAGCGGTGGGCGAACTCAAGGCAGTCCCGGAGGGTTGGTACCGGCGTCTAGAGAGTAGAGACCAGAGAGGCTGGTCTCTCAACCAGCGACGGGAAAGAAACGCCCAATGCATTCCTTGAGGCTGGCTCTTCAGCCGCCTGCCCCGCCTTCCTCTTCGCCCGTTCCCCACAGCTTTCCAATTGTAGTCAAAGGAGCACAGGTTGTGGGGATCCAGCACCCTTGGAAGCCCCCTCCAGACCCTTACTGCAGGGACAGCTTTGGGAGGGGGTGGGGTACTCGGGATGGGAAATACTCCCCTACTTTTTCTTGCTTTTGTCAAAAACAGCAGCCAGAACCATCGGCCTCTTGGCTTCGTGATTTTCAATATGTCCTCACAATTTTAAACACAGTGTTCTCTGTAGATGTGACGCATTCTTTTGTAACTATCTCTTAAAGAAAACATCTTCCCCTCAGCAAATGTGGTTGCCAGCTTGACTTAGATGTGTTCATTACGGAGCAAACTGGGTGTGAGCATATGCACACACACCTCTCCTCCCCTCGACAAAAACAATGCTTAGTTGACTGAGGGTCTGAGCAGGTTTCCACACCTGACTTTTTTTTTTTTTTTTCCGGTGAGGAAGAGTCACTCTGAGCTAACATCCCTTGCCAAGCTCTTTTTTTTTTTTTTTTGCTTGAGGAAGTTCAGCCCTGAGCTAACGTCTGTGCCAGCCTTCCTCTATTTTGTATTCGAGATGCCTCCACAGCACAACTGATGGGTGGAATAGGTGCCCGCCCAGGATCCCGCGGCAAACCAGCCTCTGAAGCTGAGGGGGTGGAACTCTAACCACTCTGCCATGGGGCCAGCCCCTCCCCGCCGCCCCCCCCCCCCCCCACCCTGACATTTTGAAATGACTGCTGGTTAGGAGGCAGCTTTCCAGAAAACACACTTCATGAGGACAGAACATCACAGAAGGCGGACAGCTCTGCCCTGACTAGAACTATGCAGGTAATGGACAAAGAGTGGGAGATAGAAAACTGCCAGGGGGCGGGCTCACTAGCATGGCCTGAATCCCCAGGGTCCGGCCAGGCCTTCCGTTTGTTCCAGCAGCTGATCTGTAACTACTGCTCCTTGTGGGGAATTTCGAGATGGTCCAAGGCTTTGAATGTAAAAGATACTTGTCTTGGTGGAGTAACACAATGATTCGGGAGGAGGAATTAATTGTGTCTACAGCTAACTGCACTACTGGGATAATAAAGTCAGAGAGAGTTATTTTAAAGAACTTGGGTCATCACTTACAACGTAAAGGAATAAAAAACGAGGACAGTTCTTTCCAAGTTCCCTTTAATTTGAATAGCCTTTCTTTCTGTTAATATCATAACCTAAACATTTGTGAGTTTCAGGACTTCTAAGAAAATCAGTTGAACTTTTATGTACTTTCCCTCAATTTTACTTTATAAAAATCTTTACAATTTGTGCTGTGATTGAATGTGCATTCTTAAATCACCTTTCTTTGTTTTCTGAGCCCAATGTTCATCGTCTGTCTCCACTGTAACAATTTCCTTATTTTTCAACAGGTTGGACTCATAGAATAAGTCTTGGTAGGTGGAGTACAGTTATTTTGTGGGAAAAGTGTTTTAACACTTGAGTCAGTCTTGGATGGAACCCTGAAGACAATTTTTCCAAGAGAAAAAAAATTCAGGGGGAAGGAATAACAAGGAAAAAGGCTGTCTACGCCTGTGGTGTCCAGCTTCCCCTGGCCCTCAGCTCTGTGCAGGATTTCTGCTGGGTTTTCCTAAACAGAACTGGCCCCCTTCCTCGGGCCTCTGCCCCATCCCCTTCTCCTTTATTCTCAAAAGGGACCCTGCTGCCTACTCTGAGGATAGATTCCCGCACCTGCCTCCACCAAACTTCCACGCCCACCCGCAGCTGCACCCGCATCTGTCTTCCTTCCTTCTGGTCAGGGTGGGAGGGGCATCCTTCTTCCTTAAGTCAGTCTCTGTCCTGGGCAGGACTGGGACTTGGTGGGGCACGAGGCCTCCGAGGTGCCCCATTTGAGGAGGTGCTCCCAGGCATGGCTGTGAGCATGAGGTGCTGTGCTCCTCGGTTCCCATCCCCAGACTTTTCTCAGGGGCCTCACTGTGTGATTGTCCCCCCGCACCACTCCACCCCGTCAGCATTTACAGATCTTGGTCCTCTCCATCTCGACAAATCTTCTCTTCAGCCTGAATCCCTCGTCAGATGTTGCTCCATCTCTTTGCTTCTCTTCAGCAGCCCAACCTCTAGAAGAGTTGCCCTGTCCTCGCCTCTGAGAACACACTCCTTACTCCGCCCAGACAGGTGTCCACCCCCAGGACTCAGCTGAAACTGCTCAGGCACAGTCTCCAGTGGCCTCTGTCATCTTAAATCCAATGGTGGCTTTTAATTCTCATTTTGCTTGACTCTCAGCAGCTCTTGCATCCTTCCAGAACCTACACCCCTTTTTCTACCTGCTTTTTAACCCTATCCTCTGGTTTGCCTCCCCTTCCCTGGCTCCTTCTCAGGCTCTGGGTTGGCCTGCCCTCCTCTCAGGGCCCTGATCCTGGCCCTCTTCTCCTTCACTCCTGTGTCTTTAACAACCAGCCATTAACTCAAGATTTCTCAACCTCGGCACTGTTGACAGATTGGGCTGGATAATTCTTTGCTGTCCTGTACGCTGTGGGATGTTTATCAGTGTCCCTGGTCTCTAGATGCCAACAATATCCCTCTGCTGTGACAATAAGAAATGACTTTGGACATTGCCAACAGTCCCCATGTGGCCAGATCACCCTCATTGAGAACTCTTGTATTAACTAATGAGTCCCCAGTTTCTATCATCCATTTGGGCATCTTTCTCTCCAACTCAACATATCCCAAATTGAATTCATTGTCTCCCATACCTAATCTTGTTTCTCTATAGTATCTCCGTGAATGATAATATCATTCATCCAATTGTTCAAGTCAAAACCTGGGAATCCTCCTGGACTCCTCCCTCACTCCGTTCCCATGTCTAGTTAGTCAGCAAGACTTCTTAATGTGGTATCTCTTGACCTCAACCATCTCTCTGTAACTCAAAGCCCATTCCTCTGGCCCATGCCACTATCTTTCTTCAGGATTATTGCAACAGCTTCTAATCAGAGGCTGCCCATCTTGCCCCTCTCCAGTATATTATCCACACAACAGCCAGACAGCTCTTTCTGGTGTGGTAGAAAGCTATGGTGGGCAGAATTCTAAAGATGGCCCCCCGGAGATTTCCTGATTATTCAACCGACGCTGATGTAGGTACTGCTGTGAAGGGATTTTGCAGACGTAAATAAAGTCCCAAGTCAGTTGACCTTATGATATGAAAATTATCCAAGTGGGCCTGACCCAATCAGGTGAGCCCTTTAAAAGCAGAGAGTTTCTCTGGCTGGTGAAGAAGCAGAAGTCAGAGGATTTGATGTGTCATTGCTGGCTTAAAGATGG